TGTACAAGGTTCTTAAACATGCTTTCCTTTTGGTCCACTATGGTATTATTTCAAAGGCATATTTATTATGCTAAATAATTAAAGTCAGCATGTTCTACCCTTATTCAAATCAGCTGTGCACCAGTTGCTCTCACAGGTAACAAAATCATAGCTGCTGTCTACGTCTTCATCTCTCCAATACAGCCGATGAGTCACTTCAGCTTTCCCAGTTGATCTTCCTTTCCAAAGTTCACAGTGCATACTGCTGTCTTCTTTCAAAACAAAGCAAGAAAGGTAACCTGTTCCTTTTGGGGAAAATACCCGTTTCCTCTCTGCTCTAAAAGCCATTTACTGAATGTGAAATGCTGTACAACAAGCCCATGGGGCAAGGAACAACTCACCAAGCCAAAACAGAAAGATCTATTTGGTCTCTGTGCTGTGTCACATGGCACAACTGTTCTGAGGTACAGCCATATGACAGCATTTCAGATATAGTGTACTTTTGTTTTCAGACAATTTTTGTCTGGAGCTCTCTCCTCCAAATAACTGGAAACCTATGTCAGAAATCTGTCTTCCAGGTACCCTCCACTAGCAGAAGCTTTCCCTGTCACCTTCTGTTCTTCCCCATTCACCAGAATAAGGAGACTGAGGACACACCACCTGAGGCTGGGATGCAGCCTGAAAATCAGGCCAAGGGGGTAAGAAGAAAAAGAGCGCAAACGATAAGGAGGAAAGGCCCAAGGAGAGGAAGCTAGAGTCTGGATCTAGGGGACCCATTAAAAACAGAAAAGAAAGGCCAGAAAGAATGTCTGTTTCTAACAATATCTGTGTAGGTGCTTGGAAGGGTCCTTATATGTGACAACCAAGAGATTCTGTGTAGGCCCATTTTGAGCTTGAAGGAGGGAAGGACATTGTCAAGGTTCTCAGACCAAGAAACCCTTTCATTACCTGAATTTTGAGGAGAAAAAAAATCCAGTAATAAAATATAAATGGAAAAGTGGCCTTAATGGAACGTGTGCTGTCAGAACTACCTGGAGGCTGCAGGATGGCAAGAGTGCCCCGAAAATCCAGCTCAGCAGGAACGTAAATTCTGGATTCTTACCCTGGGAGGATGGAACAGTGCTCCACTGTTAAGTCCCTGGTTCTCGCCAGCAGCAAATGCCATCAGATTCCCACACACCAACCAAACGTGAGCTTTCAGCCAAACAGCATTAGACAGAAGACACTCCCCAGAATAAGAGTCAGTGAAGGGAAACATAAAACATATTGGGACCACAGAAGTATCAAATATTCAAAGGATCAGATACAGAACTTCACAAATTAGCTACAAAAAATTTACAGGAAAAGATCAAATTACCAAAATGAGCAGCTAAAAGGAGACTAAATAAACAGGTATATTTGAAAACATGTTTTTCAGAGAGAACTTTTACAAGTGAAAAAGTTCATATTATGAATAAATATTCCTAGACTCTTTGAGAAACGGTATTTATTCCACTACATTATCAGGATTGAAATATGATTTTTTTAAAGTCAGAAAAAGTTATCTAATTCCATTCCAGTAAGAGCCTTTAAAATTACTTTTTAATTTTTTAATTGTGGCAAACACACACACACACACACACACAAATTTATATTATCCAGAGCACGGCTCAGCTGTGTTATCTGTTAACACTTGGAGAACCCTGTACCTAGTGAGGGACCACTGCTTCCTTTCCCTGGAGTCCCAGAATTATTGTTTCTATACATTTAATTATCCTAGATACTTTGTGGGGTGATCATACAGTATTTGTCTTCCTATGACTAGTTTCCTTCAGTCACCATGTCTTCAACTTTCACCATGTTTTAGCACACATTAGAATTTCATTGCTTTTTAAGGCTAAATACTGCATGGTACATACATACCACCTTTGTTTACCATTCACCCATCCATTGGCACTTGAGTTGCTTCTACCTTTTAGTTACTGTGAATAATGCTGGTATGAACATAGGAATATAAGTCTCTTAGATCCTCTTTTCAATTCTTCTGAGTAAATATCCAGAAGTTGAACTGCCATAGCACAATAATTCTGAAGAACTTACACACAATTTGCATAATGATAGCAACATTTTACACTCTCTTAAACAGTGCACAGGGTTCCAATGTCTCACAATTTTGCCAACACTTTGTCTTTTGAGAGTAGTCAACCTAATGGGTACAAGGTGCTATTCACTGTAGTGGAGTTTGCATGCATCTTTTCAGTGATAGTAAATGTGACCATATGTTCATATACTTGATGGTCATTTTTATATATAACCACCCTGAGGAAAATGACTACTCAAGTCCTTTGTCCACTTTTAAATCAGATTCTTTTACTGTCCTTGAGCTGTAGATGTGTAGTTTGTATATTAATCCCTGATCACATACAAAACTTGAAAATATTTCCTTTCTGTAGATTGCATGTTCACTGTTGTGTCCCTCACAATGCAGTTTCTAAACTTGTCATAATCTCATCTGCCTACTTCTTTGTTGCCTGTATATTTGGTGTCATATTCAATAAATCACTGCTGACTCCAAAGTCATGACACTTTTTCCACATGGTTTCTTCCACAAATTTTATATATACTTTTTGTGTTTGGTCTTCAATTCACTGTAAGCTAATTTTCACAAATGGTATAAAAGTCCTCATAACTTCAGTCCATATGTTGGTATACGATACAGGTAAAGGGCCTTTAGCCCTGTCACACAAATATGTAGACGAGGCTCACAGGTCCAGGAAATCTGGCCTTCAAAAAGGTAATACTTCCACCCTAATAATTGTCTTCTTCCTTCTTAAAATGTTTCCATCAGCTTAAAACACTAGTGGTACATGCCTAACTGTCCCACTGGGCTGCTGGTACTACTGGTGACACAAAGGCATCTAATCTTTTATTAGTCTTTTTACTAGTACAATTAATAAAAGGCTACCTAATGGGAGAGTTACACTTGCACCACTGATGGTTCAAGTCATCCAGCAACAAGACATGAATTACATTTCCGTCACTAACATGTTACCACTTTAGTTTTGCCTAATACTGACCCTGTCTGCTAATGAGACATAGGTAAGTTTAGAGGAAGCATGCTTTCCAGTGAGAGATAGTCGAACCCTCTGATACTTGAAAACAGCAGTGCAGGGAAAGCAGATGGAACCAAAATTGAGAGGAGCTAAGTCCTTCTCCCCTTTGGCCATAAAGTTGACCATATCAGATATGTAGCCTCTCTATATCCCTCTCTATAGACTTCAAATTCACAGTTCGAAACATAGAAATTTGTATATTGCTCACTGGCAAAAAAAGAGAAAAAAGACTTGAACTAACAGAGGACACTTCTGGTCTTTTTCATTCCACTTACATTTTGCTGCAAAAATATCTGCAAATTTCATCAAGGTGCTGCTCCCAGCTCCATGTATCTGTATACCGCATTTCCTAAAAATCTGAAAAATTCTCAATTCAGAAATCCATTCATTTCTGAGACTTTAAGGTAAGAAGTTGCAGTTTATGGCAATTTTCCTGATTGTAGTATTACTTTTTGCAAAATAGTTTTCTTTTCCCAGTAATACAAAAAATATTTCAATCAGGTATTTTGTCTTGAGATTCTTTTTTATTTTAACGAGACTGAGACAAAAGAGGATATAACAAAGCAGATCAGAACAGAAAAATGTAAGCAACACAGTATTTCACCACAAGACAACCTGTAATTAACAATAACTACCATAATGTCTTTCTTTGAAATAGTTGACCATAACTTCATATACAATAGTATCAAACATAACAAAATAGTATAAAAACCATTCAAGAGAATGCAAATATTACAGGGCATTCAGGACCAAATAACAGAGAACGAACAATGGCTACTATATTATCTCATTTTCCATATGAAATTCTTATGAAACAATGGAGTCTGTGAACTTCTAATAAGCTTGGTGGACACAGATTGTGGGACAACAGCCACTTCCTTGTGGAATCCCAAAGTCTTTTGAATAATGAATCTTTAATTGGTTCAACTCAGCACTTTGTAGATTTATGATGGAATCACAGTATGCAACCTGGAAAGTACCTTGTTCCTGTTTATGTTGTCCTTACCTGGACCATATAATGTAACCGAAGGAAGACAATCAAGACTCGTTGCCTTATTTTTTGTTTAAATTTGCTGTTTTGCTTTTTAAAATTTATACAACCGGATCTCTAGGAAGCTGTCTGTAGCACTCTTTCTAGGCAACTAGCTGGCGCTTTGCAAAAGCACACTGGCTTCGTGCAAAGAGAAATGGTAACCGGGATAGGCGTCCTTTACACAAACCCGCTGCCCTCCTGCATCCTTTCTGAGCTGCATCCCTTGGGCTTGCCTGACCAGCTCGGCTCGGCGCCAATGTTGAAGGAACTCCTCGTTGCCCTGTAATCTCGTCCAGCTTTCAGTTTTCTTTAGTTGCTGTTTGAAGAAGATTAGACGCTCGCGCAATTGCCACTGGCTAGACTTCCCCACGATCTGCACGTCCAAAGGTTCTCCGAACAGACATCAAACTCCCAAAGGCGGTGAAGCTAAGAAAACCGGCCGAACACGAGATAAGGACTTCAAACCCGTACGGACTTCGGCGAAATACAGCCAGTTGCCAGAAGTCTCGCGAAACCTGTACTAGCGCATGCGGAGAAGTCCGGCCTAACTGCCCCGCTGCTTGCCGGGACACGTAGTTAAAATTCGCAATGCCTCCAGGAAGTTGTGCGACACTAACCCTGTGACACAGCGGGACTCGTAGTTTCAGGATGTCGGAAGACGCGAGGCGCGACGGGGATCCTGACAGTGAACCGCACCGCACGCCGGGCCCCGTAGTCGGCTGCTGGGCCTGGCGGGGCGCGACGGCCGTCCTAGGTTGCGACTCTAGTCATAAGCCCGGCCTCCCAGCCACCTTCCTGCCCCGCCCCCAGCGCCTGCGGCCCTGTGTGGCTCTGGTGTTTACCCGCAGATTGGGCGCACGCACGCACGCGCGGCGCACGTCGCCCTCGCCGCTGTGACGTCGGCACACCTCCCGGAAGTCGGCGCGCACCGAGCGGCGGGTGAAGCCGGTTCCTGAGCGGGAACCGCCGCGTCGCCGCCGCCCGCGGGGCGCCGCGCCCTGAGCGCTGCTGTCCTTGTCGCCTGTCTGCCAGTCCCGGTCGCTATGGAGGCGCCGCCCGCGGCCCGCGTTCCCACCGACGGCGCACCGACGGCAGCGGTGACCGAGGTGCGCTGCCCCGGCACGGCGCCGCTGCGTCTGCTCGAGTGGAGGGTGGCAGCGGGCGCGGCCGTGCGCATCGGCTCGGTGCTGGCAGTGTATGAGGCCGCCACCTCCGCGCAGCCCGCCGGACCCACCCCTCCCCGTGCCGCCTCCGGGGGCTGCGTGCGCTCCGCGCTGGCCGAACGCAGGCTCAGATCGGAACGCGCCGGCGTGGTGCGAGAACTGTGCGCACAGCCGGGCCAGGTGGTGGCCCCCGGGTGAGTGGGTTCGGCCGAGTCGGACCGGTGAGGGAGGGGTCCGAAGAGGGGTGGTCTCGGGGAGGGAGGAGGTCCTGGATCTTTGGGAGGGTCGGGCCCCTGGAGTGAGAGGGTCAGTGTCTGAGCACTTAGAGGAGGGATTCTTGAGTTGTTGGGGAACTCGAGAGGAACTGGCTGGATGAGAATTTTGAAAGGGAGGTCCTGGCAGCTGTGAGACTTTTTAAAGCTAGGTAGTTGCCACTGATGATTGTTCCATTCAAAGGCATTTTTCGTTTAAAACAAATTCTTAGCGACCTAAAATTGTTTCCGGTAGGGAAACAACTGCATTCTAGATGGACTGTACCTTTGAAGTTAAGACTTGGGGTGGCAGTGAATACAGGACAACTTAGGCGAGTTTCAGGCTTGTTAATGAAATGGAGCTGTAGGGCGTGTGCGTGTCTTTAAACTCTTGTAAACTTTGTGAAACGCGGTTGTAAAACCTCGTCTGGGTCTGCATTATTGCTCAGGAAGAGACCAAACCCAGGCTTTGTGTGTCCAGGTGACAAGTTAGTAGTACTTCGTAATGTATGGGCTCCATAACTGTTAGCACCTGTGGCCTAACTACATAAAAGGATACGTCCGCTTCTGCAAAGTGTTTAAATTTTCAGATTTCCAGTGTACATCAGAATTTGCCCGTGGTCTGTTCTGCTAGGGTTGACATGTGGGTACGTGTCTGTGTTGGTTTTGACTGTAAGGAACAACAACTGCATGGAGAGGTGAGTGCTCCTTGATGCCAGAGCTTCCCTCTGGAAAGGATATCATTATGTGGGGGCGCATCACCCTCCTCTGATGGCTTCTACTCCTTCTCCCCTTGACACCACCCTGCTTCTGTTGTGGTTCTGCATAATCAAGGGCTAGGATGTCTTCTGTCACAGATTGGGAGCATCTTTGGGTACCATGTTCATGTATCAGAAAAGTTACGTGACCTTTGTTTAGGACCTAGTTGGATTGTGGAGGTAGAGTTCAGTGCTTCTCAATTCACTGGTAAACAAAACCCCCCAAACTGGAGAGTTCTTTCAGTTTTATTCTGGTTGTTCAGAAGAGGCCCCTGAGCCCTAGACAGGTAAATGACTTGGGCAGATAATTAAGTAGTGTAGAAACTCTACATTCAAATCAATTTAGTGAATCATAACCTTTTGGTGTTTGAAATTTTGTATCATATCAGTAGTTTGTCAGAAGGAGCTGAGAAATTGAATTGTACCACTTCTTTAATGAAGCATCTTGGTGGCACTGAACACATGTGTTCCTGCAGTCCTGGAAGACTCACTCATCCTGTGCCGTCCATGGATGGCAGATACAGCCCTGCTTTAGAGAAAGTCACAAATACTACTACCTTGAATTTAAAGTGCCTTTTTCCTGGTTTGCTTTACTCATTTGTATTTATGTACAAGGTTTTTGTTACTGTCCAGGGAGCCCTGTAATGATGTATTATTCACATTTCCAGTGTCATTCTTGTGTACCTCCATGTGTGCAGCTGACGGGTGTGATAAGCCTGGGAAGGATCAATTAGCAGAGGCATCCAAGCCTTGTTTATGTTTCCTATGGCAATTCTAATTGTTTCTTTGGAATAAATCTTACTACTTTAGGTTGTCGTATTTAGATAAACTCCACAGATGTGTTTGAACATGGGTTCAGTGTTAATCAAGTTCAGTGCTAATCAAAGAACAGTCTGATTAGAGCTGCTCTGGCTCTTAGGAGCTGTGGTCCCGCTTCCCCCAGAATGACTGCTACACTCTAGTGGAACAGTTTGAAAATCACTAGATTACATGATTATTGGCAGAGGTTTTGTAAAAAATCAAGTTTACTAGTGGGTTTGATTTTTTTTTTTTTTTTGATACTGGGAATCGAACCCAAGACCTTGCACTTGCCAAACAGGCACTTGATTAGTGGATTATTTTACACAGTGACACTTTGATTGTGGTGGCTGTGCTGGCACTTGTTTAGAGAAAGCACAGGCTGTGTTTTCTATAACTCTTCAGTTATAGTCCATTCATGATTTCTGTAATTCATGGATTTCAGCTAAGTGGTCTTCCTTCATAATTTCATTGTACCTAGAGGTTGAACATCCGTAATCTTAAAATCAGAACTCCAAAATCCAGAACATTTTGAGTGGCAGCATCATGCTCAAAACGCTTGGATTTTGGAGGATTTAGAATTTAGATTTTCAACATATGAAGTGAAACCTAAACATTAAAAATTTCCAGAAAATTCTTAATCTGAAATCATCGTCCCAGCATTTGGAATGAGAGACATCAATGTTTCAAAGTCTAACCTAAGTTTGACATTTGTGCTCCTGTTAGAGAATGTTGGGTAGAATCCCATCCTGATTTGGGCCGCGATTGGTGTCTTCAGTGATGAGCTGCTTCATTTTAAAAGTTCTCCTGTGTTTTTTTTCTTGATTATCAATGTTGCCATGTATACTGGTGGCTCCACAGCTCAAGGCCTGGTGTCTTTACACCAGATTTAAAGTGGAAGATGAGGATATATCAAGGAATAGGAGCGTTAGTTAAACCATCACAGTTTGTTGTTGTTGTTTGGCTTGGCTTGTTTGCATGGGGGATGTACATTGTGTTTTGGTTTTTGAGATAGGGTCTCTATGTAGCTGAGGCTGACTTTGAATTCACTGTGTAGTCTAGGCTGGCCTCAAACTCACAGCAATCTTTCTGCCTCAGCCTCCCAAGTGCTGGGTTTGCAGGTGTGCACTGTCACATCTGGTATCCCAGTATTTGTTTTTTGAAAGTTAAAAATATTTAACTTACACTGAGCAAGTCCTGAAATCACATGGCTGCCTTGTAGCTAATTTATCTTGACAACTCCCTAGAAATTCACTCAAATCCTCAAGTTCTTAAGATCATACTGGAGATCATCCTTTAATTATCTTTAAAGAATCTCTACTGTATTGTCACTTGCACTTGTATAGTATAGTCAGTTTTGGGTTAATTCACAGCTATTTTGAGTAGGCTCTTGGCCTACCCTCAGCTCATCTGAGAAGGCTGGAAGGGGTCTCTTTTGTGGGCTTGTCTTCCCTTTTGCACAAGTGTCCCCATATCAGTGGAACTTATGGCTTTTGTCATAGCTGTATCCAGCTCTGCTAGGTGATTAGAACTTCAGGTAGTAATGGCATCCTTGGAGGTCTGCCATTCTTGGAAGTACATGCCACTGTTTTGGTTCCTTACAGTATAATTGAGCCACTGCTTGCCTTGATTACTGACATTTTCTGTGGATAGAGTTGAGGTTGGTCTCATACTGAATTCCTGGGAAGAGTGGTGTCTTTTCTGATGCTTCACTGACCCATTCCCCTGCAGGCATCATGAAGGAGCTTCTGGTCTGTCATTTTTGTCTGGATGTCCTACCCATCAGTGTTTCACCCTTGTGATCTTTCACAGGATTTGTAAAATACTTACTTTTGAAAAATGAAGCCAAGGCTCTGGAAGAAATACCGCACTTACTAGCCTGGAGTTTTGAAAGAACAGACAGTAGTAGTGCCCACCTGAGTGATGATGTGATCTATGGACTTTGTGACGATTGATTTAACTATGATGGCTCTTAACCTAGGCGACATAGGTTGCTTGACAGTAACTTTTTTTTTCATGACATGCTCTGTTCCTTCCTTTATCTACCTAGGGAAGAAAGTTCCTACATCTACCTGACAGAACAAAGCTACAAAAAAGAAGCAATCTTCCTATACATAAAAAGACAACCTAGTGACTGTTTGAATTGACCCAAATGCAGCCAAGTTCCTGGAACTGTTCTTTGTCTATGAAGGTGTGGGTGACTTGTGTAACCTATAGCCAGCACATGTCGGGCATTGCTTCAGGAAACAAACAATAAGCCCTGATCTTGACCCTGTGAAGCTCAGAGCTTAAATCCAAAAGATTGTTTATAATACAACAGTAACAAGAAGGCAAGAAAGAATCCCATACTGGTATGTGTGAGTGAGCCTTTTGTAGTTCAGTGTTGATTATTGAAGCAGATCAGTGCAGAGGCAGGTAATAGGACTGTGGCTCCATAGAGCCTTCCTATGTAATAGCAGTTACTAGTGGATGTATAACAAGTACTCAGAACAAAACAAAGAAAACAAGTACATGTGGCTGTGGTTATCGCTGAGCCTTCCTCATTGTGGTCAGCAGCAGCATTTGACTTGACCACATGTGAGATCATTCGTAGACAAAGAACAGTTTTAGGAACTCAGCTGCATTTGGGTACATTCAAACAGTCACTAGGTTGTCCTTTTTATGTACAGGAAGGTTTTTTTTTGTTGTTGTTGTTTTTTGTAGCTTTGTTCTGTCAGGTGGATGTAGGAGTTTCTTCCCTAGGTAGATAAAAGAAGGAAACTGGGGTTATACAGTTGAAAGCTGCCTGATAAGATGTGTGTAAAAATTGTTCCTCCTCTGTGAGATCCCCGGGGTGGGGATGTAGGTAAACTGATAGTGTATAATATTTATGTGAATTAAAATCATTTTGGTTGGGCTGGGGATTTAGCTCAGTGGCACCAGCACCTGCCTGGCAAGTACAAGGTTGTGAGTTTGATCCCTGGTAACCAGAAAACAAAATCATTTCCATTGAATCATTGGTCATTTGAGAAATGCAAATTAAAGCGACATTGAGATTCTATCTCACCCCCAGAAAGAATGGCTGTCATCAAGAAATCAACCAATAACAAATGCTGGCGAGGCTGTGGGAAAAAGGAACCTTCTCCACTGTTAATGGGAATGTAGACTGGTACAACTCCACACTGTGGAAATCAGTGTGGAGATGCCTCAAAAAAGTAGGTTTGGAGGTCTCTTTCAATCCAGCTATTCTCCTGGTTATTTTCCCAGGACAGTTGAAAACGTCATACCATAGTGATATATGTGCATCTTTGTTTATAGCAGCACGGTTTGCAATAGCCATATCTTAGAAACAACGCAAATACCCGTCAACCGGGAGTGCATTTTTAAAATGTGGTATTGATGGAATTA